TAGGAGTTCCTCATCTTTCTTGAACCAGGGAGCCCAGAACTGGATACAGTACTCCAGGTGGGGCCTCACCAGGGCAGAGTAGAGGGGGAGGATAACCTCCCTCGACCTGCTGGCCACATTCCTCTTAATGCGCCCCAGGATACCATTGGCCTTCTTGGCAACAAGGGCACGTTGCTGGCTCATGGTCAGCTTGTCATCCACCATGATTCCCAGGTCCCTCTCGGCAGAGCTGCTTTCCAGCAGTTCAATCTCCCCAGGTGCAGCACTCTACACTTGCCCTTGTTGAACTTCATCAGGTTCCTCTCCACCCCACTCTCCAGCCTGTCCAGGTCCCACTGAATGGCAGCACAGCCTTTGCCAGGAGTCTGATCTGCTCTGATGCCTGCAGGAGAGGTAGAAACCATTCTGTCCCATTTGTGGATCCCAGAGAGGTCTGTGGAAAGTGCTGGTGTGCTGTTTTGGGTTTAGGTGCCTTATAAATCCTTTTTCTGGAGCTGGCCTGGTACAAGCTTTGCTGACTCAGAACCATGCTGATCAGAGGTTTCCCATTCCTCAGCCTATTCAGCTCTGACTACAAACTTCCGTGGGCTTGCTGGTTTACGTTCTCACTGACAATCTGCGCAAATAATCTTTTTAAATGCCCATTTAAAAGAAAACCGGAAGAGAATTAGTTTAAAGAACAGAGTGGGAGAGCCATCGGATTTACTGTTATAGCTTTCCTGCTGTATTTAAGTATTTATTTTAACATGGATGATTCATGTGCACATCTAAGGATTAAGAACCAAACAAGAGTAGGCTCTAATGAATGGATTATAAAATCCATAGGATGGAATTTGCTTCAGCTGCAAAAAGCTTGTGTAATTAGGCTTACCATTACGGACAGCATAATCGAGGAAGGGAAGATGATGTCTGGGAATCCCAGACCCAGCAGTCCCAGCCACAATCCAGCCCCTGAAGCCCTCTCTTGGCACCACATCTACACTACAGCACAACTTTGTGCTTTGCCTAGTCCTGGCTCTCACTACTTCTGAGGTCAGCCCCTAATTCTTTTCTTGTTAACTTCTTTGGGCTCTGCAGGTTGAAAATCTTTATGTCCTCATGGACCACACGAGGGGGACCGGGAGGGTAAAACCCCTCCCACTGTAAGAGATCAGGTTTGTGACCACCTGAGGAACCTGAACACACGTAAGTCCATAGGACCTGATGAGATGCATCCCAGAGTCCTGAGGGAATTGGCTGAGGTAGTTGCCAGGCCACTTCCCATGATATTTGAAAAGTCATGACAGTCAGGTGAAGTCCCTGGGGACTGGAAAAAGGGAAACATTGCGCCCATTTTCAAAAAGGGTAGAAAGGAAGACCCCGGGAACTACTGACGTGTCAGCCTGGCCTCTGAGCCTGGGAAGATCATGGAACAGATCCTCCTAGAAGCTATGCTAGAGCACATGGAGGCCAGGGAGGTGATTCGAGATAGCCAGCATGGCTTCACCAAGGGCAAGTCCTGCCTAACAAACCTAGTGACTTTCTATGATGGAGTGACAACAACAGTGGACAAGGGAAAACCAACGGATGTCATCTATCTGCACTTCTGCAAAGCCTTTGACACGGTCCCCCACAACATCCTTCTCTCTAAATTGGAGAGCTATGGATTCAGTGGACTGTTCGGTGGATAAGGAACTGGTTGGATGGTCGCATCCAGAGGGTAGTGGTCAATGGCTCGATGTCCGGATGGAGACCGGTGACGAGTGGTGTCCCTCAGGGTTCTGTACTGGGACCAGTGCTGTTTAACATTTTCATCAATGA